AAAGAAACTACCTAAATATGATGAAGATATTATTTTTAAATCATAAAAAAGCATATGAAACATGAAATACTTCAGTCATTGTTATTGAATAGAAAACAAGACAGTACATCCACTATCACTAATAATATTCAATATTGTTTTTGAAGAATTTAGCTAGTGTAATAAGTGAAGAACAAGAAACAACCTATATATATATATATATATATATATGAACAGAAGAGATAATTGTCTTTATTTGCAGATAATATTGCATCCCTAAAAAATTCTATGAGACAACTAGAAAACTATTGAACTAATAAATTAATTTGTAATGTGATTACAGGATAAATTTATTGCAATCTATAACTAGAAATATAGCTAGAAGTGGATATAAAGGGAAGCCCATTGATAACAGCAGAAAGAACAAAAGGAAAAATTGACAAGAAAGTACATAACCTGTATGAAGAAAAATATAAAATTTATTAAAGGACTTAAATAAGATCCGAATAAATTTTAAAAATCATGTTTTATTCTATTAAGGAAGACTCAGTAGGATAAAACTGCCTTTTTCTACCAATAATAACTGTATTTAAAATACATCACTGGAAGGCTGGCCAGTTAGCTCAGCTGATTAGAGCATGGTGGCATAACACCAAGGTCAAGGGTTCGGAGCCCTACTGGCCAGATGTCAAAAAAGATTTTGTTTTAATATCCTAGAATCCTTAAAAGGTTGTGTAAAAACATTTACATTATTTTTCCCACTGGGAATCTCAGTGGGCTACTTTTAGAACTAGACCCAACTATTTTAATGTCCATATGGGTAAATAAACATGCAAGAATTGATGAGAACATTCTAAACAAGAAAAATAATGAGAAGCTTGCTATATTAAAACTTGCTATATTAACATATTAAAACTTGCTATAAAACTACTGTAATAAAAAAATATGATACAAACACTTCTAGACAAATAAAGCAGTAAAACAGAATACCGAGTCCAGAAATATGCAAATAAATGTGGAACATACTATATTATAAAAATAGCATTTCAGTTCAGTGGTAAACAAATGAATTATTTAATAAAAGATATTGGCACAAGTGACTTGCAAGTCTGAAAGAAAACAAAGTAAGATCTTTATCTCACACTATATACAAAAAAAACCCCACCTAAATGTAAAAAAAACAAATATTAAAAGGAAATAGAAATATTTGTTTAAGGGCTGGCCTGGTGGCGCACTGCTACAGTGCGCCCCTTGGGAGCGCAGCGGCACTCCCGCCGAGGGTTCGGATCCCACATACAGACCGGCCACTCA